TTTCATAAAATATCCCTAACATTAAATTCTCTACTATAAATTCAGTAAAATAAAATAGAAACAACTAACCATTTACCATTAACATATGGATTAATTATTTTTCAGGCAGGTTCACTAATAAGAGATACGAGGTAACGAAAGGTTTAGACACATTCTTCGACAAATCTGACGCTGAAAGGACGGTTCAAATCCCGCTTGGGGCAAAAACACGTATACACACAAGGCTAATATTCCGTATTATAATGTGTATACATCTTTTACGGAAAACCTTCATATACCTGATTTCCTTGCTTTGTTAACCATGTTATAATGCTATGTTAGGGCCTTGCGGTGGGCCGATCCAGCGCGCAGTTTCACAAGATATCTATAGGATTATTTCAGAATTAACTCCGATTCGAAACAAGTCCTGAATTCAGAAGTCCTTGTGACTCCAATGAGATATCCACATATTTTACCCTATAACCGAGACACAGACTTCTCATTGTGACAATTATCTCCAAACACATTGCGATAGTCCCGCCTGCCCCTAAACCTCACTGCCAACAAACCGTGTGGCTTGAAACCATAGACATTAACAGTCAGACTGAAGAAAGCTGGGCTTAGACCTGTTGTCAGGTTCTGTCTCGCCTACAGCCAGTGAAATCTTGGTATAATTTCCACAATACGATGCATACGGTTTATGACGGCACTGATATGATGTACTACGGACTCAGCTTCCAGTCACGGAACTGCCAACTCTGTAACCAGGATCTGTGCCTCCAGCTCCCTAAAGCCACTTCATTCGGCGGTGAGCTTCAAACTGAGCATGAAATGCGACCTCGCTGGCGGAAATAAACAAATAATCAAAGGAGAATAGAGTTATATAAGTGAAGAAAGATAAGACAAAAGGAACGAGGAAGGAAGCAAAGGTACAATAAAATGAAGAAAGAAAAAAATTAAGGACGCCATATAAGCATACCTCTGTTCAAAACAAATCAAAGCAACGAAAAATTAAAGTTTGCTTCGTAAATTATAAACAAATACAAAATAAATGGATGGCTAAGAGCTACAGAAAAAAATAACTTCTATGGAATTTCTCGTCTTACAGGTAATTCGTTCCTCGAAGAGGGTCCAGCTTTTGGCCCCAAGCGATATAACGAACAAAGTCAAGCCGTGGAAAGTTCTTTTAAGTCATTCTGCTCGGGAATGAGAGCAATTTTCCACTCCACTTGATTCTTTTGAACCGGTCCCCTTCCTTCAGTAGGTGACTGCGTTCATTTCAGAATGGGACTGCGTACTTTATAATTTATGAATCTCCCTAAGAACATACAAAACGAACTTGTCCTTCGTGATATCGTGGTAATTACGCGGAACTCTGTGTAGACACCTACATCGATTAAAATAGGCAAAGAGAAGCCAAGTTATTAGGGACTACACACAGACCGTATTAGCATGTGGTTACATCAGACCCCAGGTGATGTGTGTTTTCGTGGTGCACAAAAGAGAAGTAAACGTCTCTGTGGCAGACTAAGCTTCAGTTCGGTTCACTCAAGCCATTTGTTACACAATTCTTGCATTGATCGTGTATTAATATAAATTCATCCTCCTATCCAATGAGTACAGGGTCCTTTTTCCTCCGTGGTAAAGTAACCGGAGCTCGAGACTGACAGCTTACTAAAACAAAGCGCTAAGAATAAAAATGCTATGAGTTATACCATCATTCATAAGCACGTCTTTATGGAGTGGTATTTAATGAATCAAAAGAACAATGCCTTAATTTTCATCATTATTATTACTCTATGTTGCTTCCTCTCACGCATAAATAGCCAAATGTCGCTCATATGGTCAAGATATGTCCCCCCTCCTTTAATGAAGTCAGAATGCCCATTAGAAACCTCCGTCATTACTCCTATCCCGAACAAATTAAGTCCAATCGAAAGCCTTGCCTCCTGGTATTGTAAAACTCATTTAACATAGTCCTTCCGTCTACACCTAGGTAATGCCTTGAGGTTTTCCTGCCAAAATTCTGTACGGAAATTTTCTCATCTCTCCTCCCCGTATCATTCTGCAACATCTGACGGTGACTCCACCCACATCTGTCGCCGATGGTGAATGCAGAGACAGCTATCTTAACATTACAATAAAACAGTTGATAGCTGGCGAAGACGCCATTTCATTGTCGCCACGCGAGCTTCAAGTCTTACGCTGTCTTCCAAGAAAAACTCTTTGAAACAATTGTGGACAGAGGAGAAGAGCCTGTTATGTCAGACAATGATGTGCAAGAGAAGATAACACTTTGAGGAACAATGGTATACAGCACGAATATGAAAACGAAAGAAATTTTCGGTCTGAATATGAAGTTTCATAACTGTAGTACGTTATTTCGTTATTCCACATTGTACTTGTTTTGTTAAGGAAAATGTTGAATGCTTCAGGAAACACAGTAGCCATGTCTGTCTTCGTTCATTGCACTGACAAGTTAGAAACTGCAACCCGAGAAGTTAGGCACAACTCCATTTATTTGTATTTCACACACCCCTCTGCTAACCACTGAAATGTGTCCATATTTATGTCACAAGGCAGTGTTCTTAGTCTTGACTTCGTTTCCTGAATGGAGTTCAATGCACAATAAGATGATACAGCTGAGCTACTGGTGGTCCCTTAAGGAGTCTTTTTCATGGGATTGTCGTGCGATAAACGCATAGAGGACGTGGAGTTAAGCTCCGTTCTTACTAGACCCCGATACTTTATCGAGGTGTGTGATCAATTTCAGAGCGATGGCTACTTGTTTACACGAGACTGTCGTGCTGATGGTGTAATTATAAAGTTTAATTCTTGAAAACCGTCCAAGACTACTCCGATCCTAGGCGCTCACATTGACCCCCGAGCGGGACTTAACATAGTCGCTCGGCTGGCGAGGGAATGGGTGGGAAATACGGGCGTCGTCAGAACTGCTACGAGGCTCCTCGTAATTATTTGACGGGACATGCAAAGTTCACTACGCCTGCCTGCAATCCAAGGTACACTGTAGGGCTACTTATAAATCACAAAGGAAGGGGATTACGTGACAAATTAAATTTCCGACAAACAGCTTTAAAATATTTGAAGTAATTAAACAGAATCTGTGTAAAAAGCCATTTGCCTACTGTGAATATAGGCGTAGTTAAATAAACAGAGCAATTATTTATGATGACAAAGGGTTCAAATTTTTACCTCCACGCATGATTATTACATTTGTGGCAGTTTCTTTGCACTCGTGATTATTTGATTTGATTTCTAGATAAATTCTCAAACGACTGGCTAAACCGAGCATGAAAAAAACGCCATTCCAATAATGAACAAATGGTTTCTATCACGTTTCCATTAACTTTGACACAGCAACAGCCTGAAAATAAAATTATCTCTTTTCTGTGACAGCTGTAGCTCTATTGTTGTATTCTCTGAAATAACTCTTTATGCGAACTCTGCACAAAGTGTGTCAAATATGGCAGATACGTCCGTCCACTTGTTTCATCTCCATAATCACTTTACAGACTTCGATATTTTTGTATATTACAGGTTTATACTAAATGTCGAGCTAATTTGACTGTGGTACGTACAGACCAATTCATGTACCAGTAATTATTATATCTGTACAGTTTTATTCAGTCTATCCGTGCCAATGCGGGGAAACAACCTTAAAATAGACCACGGCAACCTTCTAAGTCCTTACCTAGAAACCACAAATAAATATTTTACAATCTCATCAGATGATGTACAACTTCTGCAGTTGATACAACGTTCCTAAGCACCAACCTGTCTGAAATCCTATTCCCTGGGTGCCTCTGTCTGAGTGACGTACCTCAGTGTAGCCTACGTTACAGAAGTTAAGTCAAATGTCTCAATAGCACCAGTCACTTTGATGCCAAAGCGAAAGAACTAATTAAAACAGTCATTTTCCTCGCTTCATTCTCGTAAGGCGCCTGCAGTTTCTAATGGCAGCTGCGAACTCATTTAGCTTCTGGAAGAATCTCATTTAAGAGGCATTCTTGGGGTTCACTTTCGGCAGTTCCCCTTGTTTTCAAGAGGCACGCATTACATCAATTTTGATCCTCATTTAAGGCACACGCAATTTAAAAATTCGCGCAAAAAAGAAGGCCTTGTTAAATCTGCAAGTTGTCAGGACTCGTTTCTATGTGAATTGTTTAGTATCAAATTTATGTTCACTTGAGATTATAAATGTTGACGAAAGTAGATAAATATCAGCAAAATTTAAAACTATGAAGAAAACTTGTAGGTATATCGAATTCATTCATATCTGGATCCTACTTACCCCCTCTGAAACAGAAGCGCTTCTAAATAATACTTGTTTATCATCGAGCAGTATCTACCAGACTACAGGCGTAACATCCCAGAAGACAGACATCTTAATACAGCACAAAATAGGATAACCTAACAGTAACTATAATTTTCAGAATGCCATAAATTAGACCGTAGACAAAGAATAAGCGCCTTATCGCCTGTTTAAAACACTGACGCGTAATTAGCAGTGACCTAATAACAAGCTTTCCTTGTTGAGACAGCTGGTACCCAACACATGTCGTGCGGATGGAATATCTAGGAAATTTGTTAACTGCTTCAATGAACAAGAAAAGCAACATAACGCAGTTCCTCTTTATTATCCCCCCCCCCCAAACGGTTGATGGATACATTTCAATGGGCGTGTTAACTGGGATCGCAGAACTGTATATTTTGCATTTCATTTCACCTTGTCTGAAAAATTATCTGGTTAAATTCCTTCGTGTGCAAAATACTCTCTTGTGTAATTATGATGCCTTCCGGGTTTGTGCGCCGTGTAATATGGTAGATACTGACCGACGTTTCGGATATTTACTGGGCGATCATCACTCTGATGATACAGGCAGCTAGCACACTTAATACGTCGGTAAACGTCTACCAGAATACACGGCCCAACAGACATCTTCAAGTCTATTTGAGTTCTACATGTGTAAAGAACAGTTTCCGGAAAAAAGTGCACTCACCGATATTGACGATGCCGTGGTTGGTGAGTTCCCAGCAGGACTGGAGCCTCAGGATACTGAGTGAGTTGCTCTGTTTAGGGGAGAAATACCCCAGAGCAGCATCCGTGACGTGATAGGCCTGCAGCGAGAACTCATAGAGCGACGGTAAGAGTTGCGCCACGGCGCCAACAGCCTCGTCGGCCACGTTGATGCAGTCCGTCAGGGTGAGGGACACAATCCTCGGCGTCAGGCACGCCCACAATCCCGCCTCCGTTATCTCGTTACATCCGGCCAGTTCCAATTCGAACAGGGCCTGTAAAACAAATGGAGGGCGTTGCTCTTGAAGTTACGTATGGACCAACATTTATCCTGGCTAAAACTCTGCCTCGGTGTCAACGTGCAAAGGCGTCAGGGACGCTCAGGAATTTTTTTTCCCTTCAGTTTTTGCTGCTGGAGTTCAATGTTTAACTTCGTGTCGAATATTGAACGTGTATTCTGGTAAATATTGATTGACGTTTCAGAGGTGCTCAGTGCATCTACTGCCAGGACGATGGGTCATCTACCAGAATACACGGCGCAACATACCAGAAAACAGTCATTTTGATTGTTAAATCTCTTGTTTCATGTGCTGATAGTAGCATTGAACCATTTAAAACATTTCAATAATTCTTTACTCTAGAATCAAATTGTACAAAATATCTGTACCTCACAATGCGAGAGTGTCGGATTTGGCTATGGCCCAAGAGCCGACTTGCTTTCCGCATTGTGATCGACCTACGCCGAGATATGGCCACGAGACTATTCAACGACAAACTGTTCACCCAGCGAAACAGTTGGGCAGAACCAACACCTCTACGCTGAATACATCTAGTGTTTGTTCCATCACAGCAATCACACACAATGGTCCGTTTGTAACGTAACCGAGAGTGATGCAATGTGCCACTGGTTCGTATTAGGCTGACCACATAATAAACTAGAATACGTAAAACTGCGCTATTCACCTGGAAGGGCGGAGATATAGGACACGAATCTAATCAACTACAGCTTCTTCATTGATACAGCTTACGATGTGGACCAGATATTCTTGGTCCTGTAAGTTGTCCTGTCTTTTTCTCCTTCTGTCTAATACGAAATCAATACTGAACCATTCTTACTTCACGTGCTTCAAAATCTAACGCCCTAAGACACACACAGGTCATTTAAATAAAGTGAAACTTTCTGGTCAGAATTTTGAGTAATGTAGTCAAGTTTCCCTTTTTATCTTCAGTCTATTACACGCTATAAAGAATTTATTAAATATGAAAGCTGTAATCAGTTCCAGGTAGATTAATTTTGTCCTACGAGCCGAACAAAGACACTCCTACCATCCAAGCAAAAGTTAAATTATCCCACGTACTTACACCGTGCCACTTCAGACACAAATTATTATAAGTTTCTCTCCAAAATTACACTGAATAAGGCGAACAATTTAAAAGCATCAGTGTTTCACAGTCTTGAATTGTAAGTTTCTCATAAAGACATGCAAACTGAAGCGAAAAGCACGTTTCGGACTAGTAAGAGATGGATGCATTAAATGAACCCGAAAAGGCAGTATTACGTAAATGCGAAGTGCAGAATAAGAAAAAACAGCAAAACATCGCATCGACGATTAGTGTACAAACATTTCATATAATTTATCAATTGTGTTGGAGTAGAATTTAGATTCGAAAGATCCAATACTTGAATAGAAATGAACGGCAAGGTGCAACTGCATTCTAGACCAAACTGTATGACGGTTCTAGGAATCAGCAAAACCGACTTACATCAGGGCGGTCGATAATGCGAGAACTTAACATTGTAGCTCGCCCACAGTTTTCTCACCATGACTGCAATGTCTTTACAAAAAATCTGGGACACTTTAGCACCCTCTGAAGCCCTATAGGACTTGATTAGGTGAATAATATTGCGTTGTCCTCCTAAACCTTAACCTTCATTGGCTCATATCAGCAAGTAGCCTACACAATGTAAGATTTGAGGTTTTCACAGCGGTGATTATGCAGATTTCTGTCTTCTGGGTTGTTGCGCCGTGTAGTATGACCTCCAAACGTTGGTAAACATCTACCATACTACACGGCGCAACAACCCACAATGTTCATCACCGACGGTTAGCTTACGTCACAAGTTCTTTGCAGGAAATTGACATAATTAACGCATAGTGACAAGAAGTCTCTGTCCACATGTTTTATATCCGAAACTACTGGAGAGCTGAAGATTGAAGTCTGCTCAGTAGTTATCGTGATGACTTAATGCTGGTTCAGCAACGAAGCTCAACTCAAAATTTGTCAGTTTCCTCATAAATGGGTCATCATATAACACGGTAAGACACAATTTTATATATAGTATATAATAATATATTTTCATTTCGGAATTGCAGCGGTTTATGAAGTACGAATGTAGCACAATGTAGATGCTTTATTTTTGCGAAGAAGAAATTGAAACGCTTTGTGGATGGATTTCGATATAATTCTCTGCACATCTGTTTGCTGCTATACGAAATTCTTGGAATATGAATAATACGCAAATTCATACACAAACATATATGCATAAATACTTTTACGTCAACTAGTGTGCAGGCCTGTTCATCGCCGTCAGCTGTATTATACTGGGAGAGATCATACGAAATATGTGGTGGATAAATGCAAATGAAGCAAGTTTTTCTGAGAATATCAGTTTCCTCTTTCCACCAATATTACGTCCACATCCGTCCCCATACCCCAGGTACGCGTTACGCTTGACAAACCACTATCTGAGTCATCTGCGGCTTCATCTCTGATACAGCAATTTGCCAGTGCCAGCGTAAAGGGATGTAAAAAAATGACAACCTACGTATGACTCCTACGTCACAGCCCACATTCCATATTACCTGTAATTTAGTAAAAATGTTATCAAATCAACTTACATGATGATATACGATAAGTAATTAGCTCAACAAGAACGTATATAAATGTGATCTGGTTCTCATATAAATTTATACACCCCGAAACTTAATTTATCTTCATGAGGATTTTGTATTAGTGTAAATGACTCAGATAAACAAGGAGATGAAGATGTCTTCTGAGTCGTTGAGCCATGTAGTCTGGTATAAGTTAAGCAACTTCTCAGAGGTGCTTACTGCCTCCACCATCAAGGCAATCGCCCTGTCGATGAAGCAAGTCAGAAGATGTAACCTTCGATGGCAAAAACAAATCAGTATGCATTCTGCACACTGTCTCTTGTTCCTTATGCAACGGCTGATTAATTCTACAGTACACTTTCTCTCGCGAACAATTATCGATTACATTCTGAGATACAGCAGCTCATTATGTAATATTCGTTTGATGTACGTGTAAACATACGTGTTACGACGATACTGAAATGGGTTAGCGCTGAATACAGATTTTCATGAAGCCTGTATACAAAACACAGAAATTGAATTACTTCAACGAAAGGTAATTACATTAGCTGTGCTGCACCTAACGTTATTAGCAGAAGGGAACTTTGACGAATTGGTTTCTTCTGGCCTCTGAAAATCTTAGTACATATGAAGCACATTTATCGTCTACACGATCTTTACATTGTGCTCAAAGTGAACGTATACAAGGGAGGTCTTTACAGTTCGAAAGTTTTTTTTTTAATCTCTGAGACTACTAAGCACATCTCGATGACGTTATGGTATCGATATCTACACTAAAACCTGACATACATACATACGTCGTATGTAATATTGGTTGGCATGGTCGATTACACCTTACTTACTTTACGTAAAGTTCAATACGGCATCGGATAAACATGTTAGTGCTCAGACCATAAGAAACGTATTGCGCAACGCTCAACTATGCAGCAAAACGTCGAGTAAAAGCCTTTCATAAGTGAAAGAAACGGATGGAGTTGGCCAAAATATATGTAAACAAACCAATGGAGTTTTGGTAAAACATAATATTTTCTGACGAAAGTAAATTTAACGTTTTCAGGTCTGATGAAATTTAATCTGTATTTCGAAGACCGAACAGTGAATTTCACCAAAAGAATCTCCGAGCAGTAGTGAAACACGGCTGCTGCGTTATGATCTGAGGATGGATGACACACAGTGGAGTTGGAAACATCGCACTCATTGACGGCACAATTATTACTAGCAATTACATCGAAGTGTTGCGTAGTAATTTACCACAAAGTACATTGAAATTGGGCATAAACGACTCCTACGACTTCCAACAGGATACCAACCCAAAGCAAGCCGCCAAAAAGAACAAAATAACAAGAGAATGGTTGCTGTACAATGTTTGCAGAAGGCTCGTCACTCGTCCGCAGTCACCAGACGTTAATCCTACCGATAATCTGTGGCATCTGCTGGAATCAGAGTTGAGGAAATGAAATTTTCCGGCTAAAGTGACTTAAAGAGGGTAATGTCTGAAGAATGGCTCAAAATTCCTGCAGAAACGACTAAAATATTAGTAGAATCAATGCGAAGAAGATTGCAAGCCGTAACTGATGCAAACGTAACGCACAGAAAATGCTAACTCTGTTTGCCAAGTAGAATAATAATGAGACAGAATTGAATATCCCAGTATCATGGTGAGTGTTATCTCTTGAGATTTATGATCGTCTTAACCTCCAAACAATTCGCAGCGCTGCTGGGTATTTATAATAGACCACGAAGAGCCACGGGCATAAGAAACAGAAGAACGACTAACGTGAGCAGAAGCTGGGGTGTAAATACAGTTACTGTGATCGATAACGAGGACTGTAAACACGGTTAAACTGCCAGCACAAGCGACGTGCAGTACGACACGCACATTAAAATGCGGCCAATAGACGGTCGGCGGCGAATAGAGCTGGGACGGGCTATCTCGCGTGACTTTCCTCAGTCTTTCTGAGCGGGTACCGTCACAGCGCAGCAGAAGCTGCTTAAATTTGAATAATCGTGAAGGGTCC